TGAGGTTCTTTCCCACGAAAGCTTATGCTCCCAATACTTCTGTTAGTCTTAAAGGTGCCACAGGACCCTCTGTTGCTTTTTACAGTAGTCAGAAAGTTTTTTGTAGCTTTGAAAAGAATTCAAGGGAATTCTCTTCTAAACACTCTTCAAATGCAATTTAATATATAAATACCAGACAGGCAGCATGTCATACTTCCTCATGGTTCAGAAGCAAAAGGAATTATAGCCTAGAATTCATTTACAGACATCTGTAAAACACATTGCTATGGAATGACAATGGAGGTGATCCATAACTTGAGGTGGGTGCTTGTTCTTCGGGAAGGACCTTGTTATGAAATACAGATATGGTGACACACAACATTGCTTGTTGGTAAGTATGCTCCAGGCAGTCTAAAAACACTATAGTACTGTGCCCCAGACATGGGGTTTCTGTTACTGGTCAATGCAGCGTGATTTATGAAGATCTCTTGTGATTAGGCACCAGTCAGTAAATAGAATAGCAAGTGGGGGGGGAAAACTGAGTTAACTTTCCTCTTTGACTGCAATCAACAAACCACATATGTGTTTATTTCCAGTAACTATTTAGTTACAAAGGTATCAGCTTTCAGCACATTTCTTCATTAGGTCTAGCTGTTTAACTGGTGGTCATTTAGACCACCCATTAAAACTACAGTCAATTATTTTCTGGAGGAAATGTCATCTTTATTCGGTGAATTAAAAACTTATGTAAGTGAAAACATGTGTATCTATTTATTGTATGTATGAATGACAAAATTATTTTCTAACACAGTAAACATTTTAATCTGTTTTTAAACAATGATGCAGCACAGCATCTACTCAGCCGGGGATGGGCGGTTCAGCGTTCCTGGCCAATGGGAGCTGCGGGAAGCAGTGCGGGTCGCAGGTTGCCCACCATTGTTAATTCATCAGTGACTTTAAAAACAAAACAATGTAATTCCTGTGAATTATAACTGCCAGTGTCAATTTCAGGACTCTGTATCTCACTTCAGTAGACTCTGCTTAGGATCCTATCCCACAATGATCCCACTTCTATGCTTGTGAGACAGTATTGGGGCCTTAATCAGCACCCTCAAAATATTGGGACAATCTCCAGTTAGCAGATTCAGCACAGTGTGTTTCTCTGACTATAACAGATACTTGGCACATATAGCTTATTTAAATAACATTTCTGGTGTAGTCTGCAAGCACAGTCCTACTTTTAGCGTATGTGAATTGGCATTTGCAACACGCATTCTTCTGTTTAGTCCTTTGACATTTCAGAGAGAAAAGCGCCTGTAGTTAAAACACTGGATGGGGAACTGGGAGATGTGGGTTCAGTTCCCAACATTATTGAAGACTTACCTGTGATCATGGGCAAGTCACTTAATTCCTCTGCACTTCAGTTCCCCATCTATCTTTGTCCCATCCGTTGTCTTGTCTATTTAGATTGTGAGCTCTTCAGGACAAGGACAGTTTCTTACGATGTGTATGTTCAGTACCTTGACACAACTGAGTCTTGATTTCTTTAGGGAGAACCATAACCCAAATATTAATAAATAGAAAATAGGAGGGGGGTGTACGTACCTGCTAATCCAGTCACCCTTGCTTTGTTAAAACCATAGTTTTTAAACACTGTAATATTCTTGGTGGTTTTAATTTTATTTTTGAAATAGAATATCATATGTGTAGATCATTTTATAAGCCTCTGCTAGATACCTGAGACATTAATTCAATTGCCTTATTTCTGTCTGGAATATGTCAGTTTAAAGGACTTCATAGATTTATCAATTATAAAACCAGAAGGGTCCCCTAGAATCATCTAGTCTGACCTCAAGTATAGCATAGGTCCTCTTTGAATTAATTTCAGTTTGAACTAGAGAATATCTTAGAAAAAACATCCAATCTTGATTTATAAATTCAGTTATGGAGAATCTTCCACAATTTTTGGAAAATTGTACCAATGGTTAATTACCTTACTGCTTTAAAAAATGCCTTATTTCTAGTCTGAATTTGTCTAGTTTCATCTTCTAGCCACTGGATCTTGTTATTTTGTCTGCTAGATTGAAAAGACCCCATGTCAAATTTCTGTTCCCCATCTAGGTACCTTCAGGCTGTGATCAAGTCACCTTTAAACCTTCTTTGCTGTCCAATCCTTTAATCATTTTTTGTTGTCCAATCCTTTAATTATTCTTGTGACTCTTCTCTGAACCCTCTCCAATATATCAACAACCTTCAACTAGAGACACCTGAACTGGACACCGTATTCCAGTGCAGTCACACCAGTGCTAGATACAGAATTAATACAACCTCCCTACTCCTACTCAAGATTCCCCTTTTTATACATCTAAAGTTCACATTAGCCATTGGGCCACAGCATTGCACTCAGAGCTCATGTTCAGCTGATTTATGACTTCAGAGTCACTGCTTCCCAGGAGAGTTTTGTGGCCCCTCATCCCCCATCAAAATATGGCCTACTTTCTTTGTTCCTAGATGTATAACTTTACATTCGACTGTATTAAAAATGTATATTGTTTGCTTGTGCCCAGCTTACAAAGCAATCCAGATTGCTCCAGATCAGTGAAGTGTTCTTTTCATCTACCACTCCCCTCATCTTTGTCATCTCCAAATTTCATCAATAATTATTTTTGTTTTCTTCCAGGTGATTGATTAAAGTGTCAAATAGCATAAGGAACGAAGAACTGATCCCTGCAGGACCCCACTAGACACACACACATACACATACACACACCCTGCCCCTTGATGATGATTCCCTCTTTACAATTGCATTTTGGGATCTATCCCTTAGCTCTTTTTAATCCATTTAATATGTGCTATGTTGATAAAGGGCTTGTCTACATGGTGGGGTAATGTGCCCTCTGGAGGTGTGTTGTACATTGGTTATTCCATGTATATCACACTTTAATGTGCTGTTTCAAACATTAGAAGAATACAGTGTGCTACAGAATCTCTACGGTGCACCAGCAGGGTCTACATGGATCAATTAATACACTGCATGTTAGTGTGTCTTAGAAATTACACCCTATAGTCCACATTGCTGCTCCATGTAGAGAAACCCTGAGCATCATTCTAGTTCCTTAATCAAAATATTGTACATTACCAGGTCAAATGCCTTATACAATTCAAAGTATATTACAGCACTACTATTACCTTTATCAACTAAACCTGTAGTCTCACTAAAAGTCATTAGTTTGACAAGATCTGGTTTTCATAAACCCATGTTGATTTGCATTAATTATATCACTCTTGTCTAATTTGTTTAGTGATTGAATCTTTTATCAGATGCTCTGTTTTGCCTTTCATTTTTCATCCAGTTGGATTCATCCTGTCAAAGAAATATTCTGGTATGAGTAACACTGCACACTGTAGGGACTTTGCCCTAGATACCTTGCTGAGACTAAATTTCATATTACAGTTTTAATGAGGGCAGAACTCCTTCAAAATGGAAGACTTGTTTATTTTGGTTAATTATGTATGTCAGAGTGACTAGTAATTCTGATCTTACCTACACAATGCTGGAACCTTACAATTTCACAAGTTCAGTGGGGTTTTTCCTTCCCTAGTGGGTGTATTCCATTTCATAATAAATAATTGTAAAGGGGAAGTGGTCCTCTAGCAAGACATGTTAAATATTAAGGAGCCAGGGCTGTACTACTTTTATCACCTCAGTGTTGTCTCTTCCTCAAAGCAAGATAGAAATACCTTACATCTGTTGCTGTGCACATGCTACAGTCCACCTTCTTCCTCAATAATAATCAGTTAAGTACTTGAGGTGGTCAAGAGATTCTATTACTTGTTAGTCCCAGCCAGCAGCCAAATGCCAGAATTTAAACAAACTAAAAACCCAGCACTAAAACTAAAAACAAACTGTATTAGCTGTCCCCAAAAGATGTCCCTTACTCAGGGTTATGGTATTGATCTCTCAGAGGCATTTTACCTTCCAGAACATGTACTACCTCTCAGAAGGATGCCGCATGCTCCCTCTGTGTCTGGTCGGTGCTGTATTTGATGGAGTGGAGGGTCTCTAGCCTTTCCTACTTGGGATGGGGGGGGGTTGCCCCTGAGAGCACTGAATGGAGCAGTCCTTGTGTTCTAGATTCCTTAAGGATTGTAAATGCCTGGGTCCAGTGTGGAGTGAAGGCTTCTTGCACTTTTCCTTTCTTCCTAGCCTCCTTTGGTCACCCATGCAATAGAGAGCTGTAAGTATAGGTCCATAATCAATTCAGTTCCACAGTCCTGTCATAGAGAAAACATCCATTATCTTTAAGACCGCCAGACTGTTCCCATTGTCATTTTGCTGGGCAATGCTCCCACATCTGAATAACTCTAACTTCTAGAAGGGGGCGAGGGAGGAAATGTGATGTAGATGCTTATTAATCATAAAGGTTGATTGTCCTATGTTGTAGGAAAAAAGCACACACAAGTAAACTTTTTGTAATTTAGTTGTGCCCTGTTGTCCTTGGTTTGGGAAATAGTCTCTCTATATATCTGCTGTCCTTCAATACAGAGCCAGTAAACTTTTCAAGCAGGTACTGATGTGAGTGTATGGTACATAGGAGGAAAAATGGAGTGTGTGTGTTGGGGGGTATATACAATAGGAAATCAATTTCTTTGGCAAGCTTAAAAGCAAAACAATGTACCCTAAAAATAAAAAAGAAAGAAACTAAAGGTAAACTGGTTAAAATTGCATGTGCTGGTATATTTCTATGTTACTTATCAAGCACCCTAGGTAGGCATAGACTACCAATGAATGCTTAGAAGGATAAACTAGAATAAAATACAGCAAAAGCTTATACATGGCGTCCAGAAAATACATATCTAAAAACGTAGAGTAATGCACTGCAGTGTATCATGAAGTCACTTTGAATTTATAAACATAATGTAATCCCACATACTAAGAGCCTTAAAGGCATTAAAGCAGTCATATGTTTTAAATATTTTGTTAATATTTTGTAAAATTAGAAACTGCTTATTTAACATATAGGATAATTCTCTCCAGATTGTTCTGTAGTTTTCCTAACATTTTGGCCATACACATCCCTGTATATTCTTTCATGAAACTCAAAAGTTTTAAAAAGTACAAATTAAAAGTTTTCCAAATGTTCTTTCCGAACAAATTTGATACCTAACAAAAAAAAAAACATTACCAGAAACTGACATGATGTTTCCTTTTATTCGTAAGGGCTGATTTAAAGCTCATTTGAAGTCAATAGAGGTTTTTCCATTGACTTCACTGGGTTTTGTACTAGACTCTCAGTGAATAAGCACTGCAGCCAAGTGGCAAAGGAAATGACGTTTTTAGCAAAATCAACTACTGTATGACACTGTGGAAATGTAGATCCAGGGTTTTCTGGGTTTTATTCAGACCTTGTACACTTAATGATGGAATATTTCCCCCATAATATTGTTTGCTGAAATTCTTCTAACAATTTTCTTAGTATGTGGCTCCTGAAATAGCATCTAAAGTTAGTGCCTAGAATCTGATGGATACTGTATGGTTAAAACATTTTATATATAAGGTTGATACAGACTTGTATCCTACCTTTTTTTTTTTTTTTTTTTTACAATCTCAGAATAACTATAATTCATAGTCTTTGATGTAACCTATAGAAACTTTAAACCATAAGGAATGCAAACTTATATATAAGATTCAACTGCTGTCATGCCTTGTGATATTTCCTATTTTAAGGTTCAGCATGAAAATTATTTGACTTTTTTCTAATTTAGAAAAATCAATTTTTCTGTCCTGATAATGCACGCTCCTCTTGCGAGCAAACTGTTAATTCTGATTCTGCTTCCAAAGCAGTAATATATAAAAGCAGACTGTTTGGCTTTAACAGGTACAATAGCAGTTGAATCTGCTTATGATTTAATGTTTCTAGGGATTACATCAAAGCCTATAAACTATTTTTTTTTTTAAAAAGATCCAAATAAATTAGTGAATAAACCCATTTCCAAATTCAGACAAGTTCCGGTCAGTTTCTTATCAAATCCTAAATAAACAATCAGTGATTCTGTGAGCACTGTGATAAATCCACCAATTGACCAGCCCCCACCCCCAATTCCAGCTGTTAAAAGGACCCAGCACATTCAATTATCTCAATCCAGACCAACAGGCTGCAGTAAAAGCCTTTATGGATTTTGATGATGAAATCTCTTCTCACCAAATGGACAGAAAAATAAAAATGTTGATTCTGGCAACTGAATGTATCTAATCTATGTTCTTTCAGTCAATAGACTAGACAGGATCAAAAGTGGTCATGCTGGCCAATCAAAAACTGCTTTGATGTCCTCTACAGAGCTTTCTCTTTGGAGGTCTTCAGAGAGGAAACTGCTTTATGCTTTTTTTAACATTGTTTTTCAATAAAAACTATGCGTATTAGAATAAGCACTGAAATCCTGTAGTGTTTGGTCCACAACCAAACAAGCTGTAATCCTGAGGACTTTGTCTAACCTAAAAATTTCAGATGCAAATAAACACTGACAGCCCTGAGAATAGAAGAGATGAAAAAAGAAGACAATTTCACAGAATCCACCCTAAGATCAAAGGTGAAATTATCTATATAAAGAGAATAAAAAAAGAGTTATAAAATCTGGATAGATATTCAACAATGAAAATAATTAAAGGTAATTTCTTGTCAGCTGGATCAAGTAGCTAGCTAACAAAGTAGGAGGCAAGAGTGAGATGAAGTAGTGATGGCTTTGCAGGAGGTTGCTACAATGGGGTATACTGCTGCCATCTACATAACCCGCTCTGAGTATGTTGATGGTGATTCAGGAGAAGGGCCGGTTCCGTAAGTGGACTTCCCCAGCTGCTTTCAGTGAAGTTGCAGTGCTGGTGACTTCTCTCCAAAATCCTGATTTCCCAGCAGCCTGCCCTCAAATATTTGTTATTCTTCAGTTTGGATACTGAATCTCATAGTTTTGGGGGGTTTTTTAATGCTTTTCTTTCTCTCCACTCTTTTAATAACTACAGCCTTTTGGTAAGATTTTTAACCCTTACATTACTAATAAAAAACTAGTTTACAGGAGCAGCAAATGTGGGGAGTTTTGCAAGAGAATTCTCGGTGTGGAGGAGCGACTGTGACCCTTGGGGTGAGTTTGTCTGTTAGTGTATGTGTTGTGTGCTTGCTTGCCATGAGTTTGCTTGATTGAAGTTTATAGTGTGGTCTGTTTTCGGGCTGTCTGCTGAGCCAACTGGCCAGCTAGGCTAGACTCAGAGTTTACTAACAAGGCTCTAGCCTGCTAATATTTGATTCCTAATCCATTTAGGATCTCTTGAGAAGGGGCAGGGTTAATTCAAGGAGAACTGAGGTTTAAAAAGTCAGTTCCAAAGCAACCAGTAGAGCTAGCAAATAGGAGTCTTATGAGGGAGTTCAGAGAGAGTGAGAGACACCCAACAAATGTACTCTAAACTTAGGTCAATAGCCCCCACAAAACACAAGAAAAAAACCCCTGCAAAAGTAAAAATGTAATCAGAACTCCAGTTTATTATACTAAATGCTGCATGTATGATTAGCCACCTTGTGGTGTATGTGTGCATTTGGTGCAAGCAGCTCGTAACCCTCAGACTGAGTACAGGCTCTTGAGACCAGAGTGGCTAAACTGGAGGAGCTCAGGGAGACAGAGATTCATGGAGGAGACTTTCAGGGACACAGTAGACTGCACCCCCACCCCCGTCTGACAGCCTCTCTTCTGTTGAGGAGGATGCAAGTCTCAGGGAGGAAGAACATCAAGCTGGAGCAGAGGGAAATGATCCCATAGTTGGGACCCTCCTTCCAAGTGATGTGACATGGAATTCTCTCTCACTGAGGATACCCATCTCGGGGAGGGGACCCCAGTTATTAGGAACAGACAGTGTTAATGGGGAATTCAATTATTAGAAATATCAATAGTTGGGTTTGTGATGACTGGGAGAACTGCATGATTAATTGCCTGTTGGGTGAGACAGTGGCAGATCTTTTGAGACACGCAATGCTGGGGAGGATCCAGTTGTTGTATGTGCAGGTACCAATGATACAGGGAAAGGAAGGAGAGAGGTGCTAGAGGCCAAATTTAGGCTGCTAGGTAAGAGATTAAAGTCCAGGACCTCCATGATTGCATTTTCTGAAATGCTTCTAGTTCCATGCACAGGGCCAGTTAGATAGGCAGAACTGCAGGGTCTCGATGCATGGATGAGATGATGGTTTTGGGAGGAGGGATTTAGGTTATTGGGAAAGGAGAAGTCTATACAGTAAGGATGGGCTTCACCTAAACTGAATCCAAAACAGATTGCTGGCCTATAAAATTAAAAAGGTCATAGAGGAATTTTTAAGCTAAGGGCTGAGAGAAAGCTGACAGATGCAGAGCAGTTCACAGTTTGGACAGAGACATCCCTTAGGGAGACCTTATTAAAGGGGAGGATAGAAGCTGATAAAATACAAGTAGGAACTTAAGAGAAACAGTAAAATGAGTCCCCTTCAATTACATCATATGAAGGCAGGCAACTAAATATTGAAAAATTTTATAAATGGTTGTATACAAATGCAAGAAGTTTTAAATACTAAGATGGGTGAACTTGAGTGCCTGGTATTAAATAAAAATATTGATAAAATAGGCATCACAGAAACTGGTGGAATTATGATAATCAATGGGACACAGTAATTCCAGAGTACAAAATATACAGGAATGACAGAGTAGATTGTGCTGATGGAGGAGTGGCACGACATGTGAAAGGAATAGTTAAATAAAGGAAAAACCTGAAAAACCTGAAATGAATCACAGTACTATATAATCTCTCTCTGACTCATAATTCCACACTTGAATAATAAGAGTATAAAAGTAGAAATATACTACCAACCAGCTGATCAGGATGGTGATGGTGATTGTGAAATACTCAGGAAGACTGTAAAGGCTACAAAAACAGAAAACCCAATAATAATGGAGGATTTCAACTATCCCTATGGTTGACTGGGTACATGTCACCTCAGGATGGGATGCAGCAATAAAATTTCTAGGCACGATTAATGACTGCTGCTTTGAGTAGCTAGTCCTGTAACCCACAAAGGAAGAGACAGTTCTTGATTTAGTCCTAAGTGAGCATAGTATCTGGTCCAAGAGGTGAATATATCTGAACCTCTTGGTAACAGTGACTATAATGTAATTGAAGTAAACATCCTTGAATGGGGGAAAATACCAAAGAAACCAAACACAATAGCATTTAACTTCAAAAAGGGGAACTGCAGAAAAATGAAGATGCCAGTTAAATGAAAAATGAAAGGAACTGTCATAAGAGTGAAATGCCAGCAAGCAGCATGGAAACTATTTAGAAACACCATAATAGAGGCTCAAAATAAAATATATGGAAAATTTAAAAAAAAAAAAAGGTAAAGGGGGCCAAAAAAAACAACCCTACCCAAACAGCAGAATAAAAAAGAGGCAGTTAGAGACAACTGCCCTGTTCTATTCATTCCCTCTGAAGCAACAAGCAGCAGCCACTTCAAAAGATAGGATACTGGGCTAGAGGGACCACTGGCCATACGGGGCTGGACTATTCTTATGTGCTTTGGATCTAATCTCAGCTTAATGATTTTTTTTCTTTGCATCATCCCTGCAAGCAGTGAACAAAAAAGTTTGATAGAAAATAGGGCATTATTGCAAGCACGGGGAGTTAACACAGGGGATCCCTTTGTTCAAACTCAGTAAAATTCCCTCCTGTGCAGAGAGGCAATACTTATGCCTTCAGAATAAGATTTGGATGGGACTCGTGTGCATAGGCCCTGAGTTGTCCCTCTGCACAAGAGTGGATTTCACCCATAAAGACCAACTGCATGACCACAAACAGCACAGTTACCCGATAAATAACTAGGTACTCAAATGAGCACACCAGGATGAAAAGCAATGACAATTACTGTACCTGAGTCTCCTTGATGGTTAGTCAGCTAGGTCTTAGTGAAGTGGTAATGGAATTTCAAGGCTGCAGAAACCTTACTTTTGTTGCTACACTCTCTCTCTGGTTTGGGACTAGGCGGCTGACTTGATAGATCACATGTACAGCGTTTCCCAGAGCTGAACAAATTTCTCAGATTATTAAATTACTGTATAAGTATGTAAGGGAACTCCCTGGGTATTATTCAGTTTTATTTTGGAGCAAAGTAGGTAGTGTAGTATTACTGAAGAGGAAATAGAGCAGCAGACTGGATTAAAATAAACTTTAAGACATTTTCCTTTAGATGTGTGTGGAAAAAAATATGATGAGTGTTTGACATTCCACCTTCTGTTCTAAAGCAAATCTAACTGTGATGCAGGGACTTATGGACAGTCTTAGAAGAGGGCTGCCAGGAGCATGAGTAGAGGTTTTTCTTTGTTTTTGTTTTTCCAGAAAGAGCTAAACAAACACATACTTGCAAGCAATGAAGTTATTTACTGAAAAATAAATCTGTCGGAGCCTACTACAAGCAATGTTTTCAGAAAAATCTACATTTATTCCACCAATACCATAAAACAAGCGTGCACACAGATGGGCAGATTTTGCTGCCTTTAATCAAACTGAGTCATGTCTTAATCCACAAGTAGTCCCACTAATTTAAAGGGAGGCAGAATCCAGTGCATTAAGTACTGCATCGTGAGCTGTAACATGCCTCTGTTTCTGTGGTTTGCCCATTGTGTCCAGCCCCACATTCAAAAGGGCACACAAAGTGGTGGCAAAACACCCTGTACACACTGCGTGCTGGTGATTGAGTATCTTGACCAGCACATACGTCCTAGATCTCTTAATAGGTGATCTGCTTTGATTGGTAGGGTAGACTAAACCAGAATGATGTTTTTAAGTCAGTGATAAAATATATCATATTCTCCCTATGTCTTATGCATGTGACCTTTGGAAAGAAGGGAGAGTGTTGGGGGTAGAAGAGAATAAATGTCTAAAACAAAGACCCCTTAGGTTTTGGTGTCTTGTGTGTGTTTTCTCCGGCCATGTGGTGTTTTTATTCTTCTGGCTGAGAAACTGAGTAAGTTCCCATGATGAATGCTTCTGCAAACTATGGAGTCCTCTCACTGCCAAGTTATTATTCTTTGTTTTTCATCTTCCTATAGTAAAATATCTTTGCAGGGTTTCCAAACCTATACTCTCTAGTGTTCTCCTGTAAGTACACAGGGCTGTTGCCAGAGTGGGTGGAGCTGGCTGGTTCTCCAGTGGATTGGCGCAGTGTTCTGAAAGATGTAAATATGCTGGGCCCCGATCTAGCAAAATACTTAAATACATGCTTAACTTTAAGCATGTGAGTAGTCTTACTGAAGCGTTTAAAGTTAAGTACATGCTTAAGGGCTGTTCTGGATCCAAGGCCCTCTAAGGGAGCAGAGGCAATCATTCAATATATTAATATCCACGAAGAATGAATAGGTAAGGAAATATCAACATCTCTTGGGATAGCTTGCATTTGGGGGTAGTGTTCTCAAGAAAACTAAGCACATCTTTTACCCATAAAGTTTGTATGTTCTAAATGTTTTTCTTGGTCTTTCATGCTAAATTAAACATTTAGTGAAAGAAACAGAACAGTGTATTATATTTTTTGTACAGAGGAAAGGTCTAATTTTGAGGGACCGCTAAAGTGTGATATAAAATGCTTCTTTGCTACCTGTATTTCTAAAGGAGTTGTTATGGCTTATGACAGAATAATTTAAGTTGGTATGGTACCTTAAAGATGATATCAGTCACTGTGGCACATAGCTGTAAATGACTCAAGGTAAGGCAGAAGTCAAGAAAGAAGAGATAGAATATTTGCATTTCTGTTGGGCCAGAATTTGTGTCTGTCAGGTTATTAAACACATAAATAAAACTTTAATTACAATATATCTAGAATGTGAAACAACAAGGCAGTGTTTTGTATTTGATTTGAACTATAAATATGATAATCTGGGAATGACCTGAAAGTCATCAATGAAAAATGGAGTTTATTTATGGTTCTAGTCGACCTTCGTGTATATAGCTATTCATATAGGCATTCTGTTAAAATTTTGCACCCCATGCTGAAAAATATCAATGACCCACAAACTTTGTGTAAATGACCCATAGTCATTTTATTATAATTAATTAGAGGTGTGGGTGACAATAGGGAAATCCTGGAGCCTATATGCCTGAACATGAACATTTGAATGACCCATGAGTAGTGCCGGTCCATATAAATTAACTTACTGCACAATTTCCCTGTGAAAGGATTTAGATTAGGCAGTATGAATGTTAGGAGTTGTATGTAGTCTTTAGCCCATTATAAAGCTAATACAGCTGAATTAATGTATGAAAGCAGTTTCTCTCTGCTGTGTCCAGAATGTTTTGTCCTGGATAAAGGAAATCAATACTTTGAAAGCTTTCGGGATCCACTGCCATAAACCACAACACCATTCTTCAAGCTGTGCAGGAAACTAATGTAAAAATATGGTTCTAAAATGTACCAGAAGGTAGCATTTGTAAGTGACAATGCACATTTCAAAGCTTAAATACAGTATTACATGTGTAATAGGAAACATGCAGTCCACATGGCTCATGGGTTGTGTTGGCTTTTGATGGAATCCCTATTGGTAGTTCAATTTATTGTGTTTAACTCAATGGAGGCTGGAGTAAAATATTTATTTCAGTTTTTAATTTTGGATATCTAAAGCACTGCATCAAAGTAGTATTCTCCCCTGACAAAACAATGGTAACTGAGGTAAATTGTATTAGCTCACTTTTACAGATAGAGAAGCTGAGGAACAAAGGGTATTTGCATCCGGGTGAGTTTGTGTAGGCTTGAGCAAATCAATAAACTAATGGCAGAGTTGGAATTACAACTCTGGAGTGGAGTGAGACAAAATATTCATCATCTGTTTTCTTCATTATTTGGCACCTGTTGAGGTCACAAAACATTTGGGTTTGGAGCTATTTTAACAAACATGAAAATTTTAAATAAAATTTAATTTACTAACATTGTGACAAATTTTCATGGTACTATTTATAGATTCTAAGGCCAGGAGGGATCATTGTATCTAGTTTGACCTCTTGTATAAGACAGGCCATAGGATTTCACTGAATTAATTCCTGCTTCACAAGAGTATATTGTAACCTTAGTTGTGGTTGCTCACATTCTGTGGGTTCTGGCTCCCTGACTGGCTGAACCTACTTCACGTGGTCAGAAGGAAAGCCATTTTGATGTTGGTTGTATTTTGTACATTCTCTGAGACAGTTAAAAGAAAACTACTGTGGCAGCAGCTTGTAGCAACCCCCTCATTGTCTACAGTAGCATGGGTGAGCAGACTTTATTTAGTAACCACTACTACCCAAATATCATCTACGATGTGTAGGGGACATTGGCAAGATAGGCTCTGCCTTTAGACATTCTATTTATTATAGCTTAGGAATAACCCCATGGGCATATTTGGTTGCCTGCCTGCCAAAGGCAGGACCCTATACAGGTACTCTGTACTTATGGATGAGGAACTTACCTGGTCATTAACTTATGAAAACTAAAAGAGAGAGCATGAGTCATTGAAGCTTCTGACAGTTTGCTGTGTGATTTGTTGATGAATCTGGACATTACATGTCAAGTGGACGTTACCATATAGGCTGCTTTAGGGAAAATATAGACATATATCATTCCAAACTGAGAAAGAAAGAGAAGATGGAACAAATCTGACTGTTCCATAATGCTTTTGCTATGGCTATATGACAAAATATATAAAGGCACCTACTTCTACAGGTTAATTGGAAAAACTGCAAGTTGCTGCATCTTTTCTGCTGCTGTAGACTTAACAAGGAATTTTGGCATTTAGCACTGTGGTCCGTGGACGGCTAGCTGTGCGGAGTGGCCTGATCATATAATGCCAGCCCTCCTCCTTATTTCCAGCTGTTCAACTGTATTGAAAGAAACTCAAAATACATTAGGGGTGGGATTTTCAAAAGTTCTTAATGTTGGCCACTGAAATCAATAGTAAAACTCCCACTGACTTCAGAGGAAGCAGAGTTGGACCACTGCTGAGTGCTTTTGAAAATCCCACCCTAAGTTCTTTTTCCAATATTACTGTGTAGTAGGGATGATATTTGATCACCAGTGGAAGGGCACATATGAGTCACATAATTACAAACAGCAGGAGATATGGGCACCCCTACTAAAATATGATCCATGCTCTATAAACAATTTTGCAGTCTTTTGTTAGCAGATGGCAAGGTAACTTTTAGCAAGACTATTCTACAGAATGAATATGAGGTATACAAAAATGAACTGCCCACAGGGGACCTCATTTGTCTGTTTCAAAAGTAGATTTCTATATCTAAGAGCTTGTTTACACGTTGAATTACTTTTTTTATGGCTATATGAACACACACGAGGGAACTCTTAGCGTGTGACAGCAGGGTCCACATAGGCAAAGTTAGTGGGCAACATGCTAGTGTTCATTAGAACATATATCCCTCTAGTGCATACTGAAGCATCCTCTAGACAAGACCTACAATTTTATCTTTATGGTACCTCTGTAAACAAAAGGGATACAAGTATGAAATGCTGATGTGAAGATACCATCCTTCACCTATTCTAAGGACCAATATAAACAACATAAATGGACTCTAATGGTGGACATTCTAAACTTGTCTAATGTCTGTCAGCAAGGAGTAAATGTGTAACCCACACACCTCCAGGGTGTGGTGTTCTGTCCCCTCTAGTGGCACCAAGACCACTTAGAGACTAATGAGTCTGCTACAGCCTTAGCTAAGGGCCATGTGGCTTTTAGCTCATGCAATAGAGGCTCATGCATTTAGCTCCAGAGGTCCCAGGTTTGATCCCTCCCACCAATGACCGGTGTCTTTTGGTATTACATAAACACTAGCATTTAGTTAGATAATACTTTAATCAGAAGTCCTCAAGTAGAAGGTGAGAATCTGATTAAACTATTTTTTCTACAATAGTTTGCTCATAACTTTAATTAATTCGCTTAGCTAAGTTCATGCATATGTTTTCTTTTGTTTTAGAATTAATGTATCCAAGGCAACATCATTTTGTGCAAACCCCATTTCTCTTTGTCAGA